AAGTGGCACGAGCAGTACGTGCTTGTGTGTACTAATAATACAAATTACTTAGTACATTTTTTTTATAATCAAAACCCATCGAACATCATATTCACTCAATATATCCTATATTCTTAAGAAACACCAAAATTATTTTTCCATACAAACAAATAACAAATAATGTCTGGTATAAAACAAATTAAAAACTGTCGACTCATGCTCGTTTTGCAATTTTTCTTTCATCGGATTACTCATTAATACATATAAATAATGTCTTAATCATTGTTCTTCGAATGAGTAGCTTTGCGGCAAACAATAATGCTGGCGGCAGTAATAATCCTCGTCATTTTCTTTGTGACACCACGTTCCATCCGGAAAATATGGGTTAATGCCATAGTCTAGCATTTTGAAGCGTAAGTTTAATGTGTAATAAATAGGATGTTTCTTTTGTACACAGTGTATAGTACAAGCTATCCACGGTTTATCAACTTCATGAGAAGCCTGCCATCCCGGCTTTGTTTCCAGTTCGAATATGGTACGGCTGAATTCGGTGCATTTCATGGTCGTGAACTCGGCGATTGTTTTACGTCTTTCATTACAGAGTGACGAATCATCGCACAAATTGACGTCATAATATGGTCCAATGCAATCCGCTGTTTTGTGAGTTTTATGTTTGCAAAAACGTCGTTTGACTAATGCGCCTTTAGATTCTTCCAAACAACTGCTTTTACAAGTGTCTTCCTTCCATTCACTCCAGTTATCGTCTTCACAATACTTAAAAATGTATGGCGGCTCGATAACTGGTACGCATTCTTCTCTGCGACATTCCTTCCCAAGTGCGCAATGAGTTCCTAAAAAAGAATCGATAAATTTAACGCTGTAGTATCAAGTCAGAATAAAAGATGTACCTGCTAACGCCGGTCCCGTGAAATAATACGTATTCTTGTGAGGGGTTTCGCATTGTAAATTTTGACATATATTGTTTAACGTGACTACGTTAGCATCTTTGTCGCGCAAAAATAGTTCGCATTGTGCTTTGGCGGTCCATTCTCTTCCAGCTAAATTAAGATAACTCCGATTTTCGAATACATATGCGTCATTTTCGGGTGTGACATCATCTAGAAGACACGTATATGATGACCGGTATCTGCTTATTGTGTAACGACTCTTACTGGACCATATTATCTGACGTTTTTTATCATTGTAGCTATCCGACATTATGTAATCGTATTTGTCTTCCGGTTTCTGAATCGTGTTCCAATCCTAAACTATTGAAGAAATAAATTAGGAATCACGAAAATATATTTTTCTTTGCATTATTCAATTAAAATATTTTTATGTATTAGGACCTTGAATAAGTTCTCGCTGTTTTTTGTTAAAAAAACAATTAATT